GGAAAAAAGTTTTCTCTTTTCCTTTCAAAGCTCCATAAAAAAATATATAGATACCAGTTGTGGCGTCAGGATTGATTAATTGCATTGTTTGTCCTGCTTTTCACGTTCGGCTTTACACGTCGAGCAGAAAGGGGTGACAAACATGATTGAACTGCAGTTGGTAGTTCGACAGCTAATGACTTGTTATTCTAGTGTCCTTGATCAATTAAGTCTGCATGATCAGGTTAAACGTGTTCCCATCTAATCAGTCTTCTTGCTCCGGCTTACAGATGTTCGATGATATCATTTTCGCCTTTTTCTCCCTGGAGATGACAATCAAAATGGTCGCGATGGGCATTTACGGAAAAGGGACGTATCTCGCGGATTCCTGGAATAGATTGGACTTCTTTATAGTGATTGCTGGGTAAGTGCTTGTTAATTATCTCTTATTTAGGAATTTGTCATGTATATATATATTTTACAATGTATATAAAGTTATTGATGAAAATTAAGAAAGAAATTAATCTTTGGCAAATTTCTTTATATATATATTCTTTTAATTTGATCTTTATGCAAATATATTCGAAAAAAAGATTATATATATTGATATGGACTGTTATATTCCCATTATTTTTAATTCTAATTTATGTTAATAATATGTTAGAAATATAAATAAATTTACTTATTTATTTATTAAAAATGATTAGTTTCATTAATAAATGTATATATATATATAAATTTTTTTAACGTTTTCAATGAATTTTTGAGACTTTAATAGATATTGTGCAATAAATAGAATTCTTAAATTTTTTTATATTATATAGAATTCTTAAAATTTGTTTATATTATATAGAATAAGTTATTTAACTCTGAACTTACTTGTAAATTATTTATAAATATATAAACATTTGTATTGTAAAACATAAAAATATGTTTCAAAGAAAAGTTTTTTTTGATATTAAAAATGGTATGCAATAATTAGTTTTTTTTATATTTCGCTTTTTGGAAGAATGAATAAAGGAATAAAGTTTATTTTATTTTTTGAATATAATCTATAATATGAATATATGATTTTGGCTAAAATTTTTTAATTTGCTGGCTAAAATGCTGGCTAAAAAATTTTTTAATTATAAAAATTTAAATAATTTTCTAAATTTTTTAAAAAAATTTTTGTTTGAAACATTTTTTTATACAATAAATAGTTTAAAAATAAATTTAGTTGGCATAGTGAAATGACTCATTTTTTATTACATTATTCAATTGATGTTGATCGATTCTATTAATTAAACGAAACTTGAATGTAAAATTTGCAACTATTAATTATAAAATTTGCGATTATTAATTTCATTATAAGGCTTGCATTTCTTTCAATATTAGGTGAATATTCGTCTAAAAAAAATTACATAATTAAATAAATAATAAAAAATAATGCTAATAAACAGAGTTGTTTTTTATATATTTTATTTTCTATATATTATATTTTATATAAAAAATGATATATGTATAAGAAAGTTATAATTATTTAAATTAATTTTAATAATTAATTTAATATATAATTTAATAAATTAATATAATATACAATTTAATACTATTACGATTATGAATGGAGATAAATATTTAAAGAAAAAATATGAAATATTTAAATATTATTTTTATGAATGTTATTTTTAATTCAATATATATTTTTTATGAGTTCTTCTTTTTATGGATAACATTCAATTCATAATTATAAATTTTTAATAATTAAAATATTTTTAAAATTAAAATGTTATAGGTTGTTAATAATAATATAGGATAAAATTTTTGAGTAAATGTAAATTATTATCCAAAAAGAGATAGGAATATTGTTTTTATATTTACCATTGTAAAATATGAAATAAATAATAATTCACAACTACGAATTTTTACTGAATTTTTATAAATAGATATTTTCGTTTGAAAATCTATAATAAAATAGAATTTTTAAATAAAATTATTATCTAAACCAAAAAAAAATAGTCTTATTACTCTTATTATTCTTATTACTCTTAAATTTTATTATGAAAATTGATAATATGTGTTAATAATATGATAATAAGTGGAATCGTCTATTAATGTGTCTGAATAAATAGAATCTTATTCTACTTAATTGAACTTGTCGAAGACAAACAGTTCATGATATGAACTTTATATAATAGGAAGTCGATCCTATTATATATGATTTCTTGTTTCAATAATAAGACTTCACATTAATAAATGAATTCAATTGAATATAAACTAAAATTATATTAAAAATTTTAAACAAGAAATATAACTTTATCCAAATTTTATAGAGAAAACATTTCTTCATTAGAATATAAAAATTTAATATTCCTAAATTATATTTTACAATAATTGATTTACTTAATTATTGATTTATCAGGAATAATATGATATTCAATTTATTCTTTCATATACAAAATAACAAATTGAGAGATAGTAAATGCAATTCAAATAGAAGATTTTATTTTAGATTTTATTTTAGTTTCAAACTTAAAATTTTTTAAAAGTAAGGAAAAATTGTTTCTATCGATTAATATATAGATATGATAAAAATATATTTTTTTAAAATAAAATATTAATAAAATAATATTAATAAAAAAATATAAATGTATTAAAATTTTAGATTTATTTTTCGGAAAAAAATG